TCCGGGTGATACGACCAACAATTACTAACTATTACATCGTTACTGGGGAACTTTTCTAGGTTTCTTGGTATGTCCTTCATGAATCAAGCAAGCAAAAAGGAGACTGTTTTGAGGAAAAATACATTGGTACAGGTACCAATATAACAGACAAAGAAGAATTTCAAAAAATTTCCTTACATCATCAGGATGATCACTATTCTTTGGAACTGGATGAATGCAGACCAGAGGACGCCGGAGAGTACCAAATTCGAATCGAACCAAATTTTGATTATTTGGATAAACTGGCTGGTCAACATAAATATAGCAAGAATGCGTTTTACATTAAAAAACCCACTTACAGTCAAACAGTTATAAATGTAAAGATCATTTGAAATTTTCTGGTTTATGGCGAATAAATTTTTAATTTGATTATTGCGTAATCCATAAAAAGAAAATGCTTTATTTGGAAATTTTTTGTAACTGCACAAAAAATTCTTTTTCGGTTAGTGAAATACCGCTCTCATTAGGCAGTACATCGATCTGATAAGCTCAGTTAATTGGGTACTAAAATTAACTTTTTTCGGCTTATAAATTAAAGAAGTTCTACAATAACTGTCAAATTTTCTCCTGAATATAGTGCTCAGACAAAATTTGAAAAGAGATTTTAAAAATGCATATCACTGATAAATTAGTTTGATGAAATGTCTGGAAAGGTGGTGTTTTTTGACAACGGATGAGGCAGATGGTGGAAGTGGCCAATTATCAACCACTGCTCATTTAATTGAAACTTTTTTCTTAATGGTTTGAAGAACAATGTGTTCTTGTATACTGGTCTCCTGGCCGTCGATCTTGACAGTTTTCTTGTAGCACTACTCGAACGCTAGAGAGTGTGGGCAAAGAAAACAAGAAAACTACAAAAAACTTAGAGACATCACGTTAACTAACAGAATGACAATTTTTACAACGAATAATCAACGTCGAAAAAATGAAGAAAATGCAAAATCTATAATTCTCCTCTTCAAAATTCTTTCAATTAATTGCTCTAACAATTTTTTACATCTTTCCACGTTATCTGGGAAGGAGTTAATTTGCTTACAAAAGAGCTCTTGCTGAGAACCATATGCAGTCAAATTACATATACTTCAAACAGTAAAACTGAAAGTATCATATAATATAACTGCACTGAAGCAAATATTCAAATAGAGGAGAAGATATTCGCATTAAAAAATTGTAAATATAGTTAGATCTATCTAGTGCCTCGTAACCAAAGACCACAAATTCAAAAAAGCCTTAGTCAGTCGTGATTCTAACTTTGAGAGACTTAATTGCAGTTCAGCTCTGCTTGATTGATACTGTTTTACTTAACAGTCCCTCAAATTTTACTACATTGAGAAAACAAAAAAACCATCATTTTTTTATCTTGAATTTGATGTAACTACTGATGAATTATTTCAATACACTGCCGTTTAATACTTCAATTCCCCATTTCCAAAAGCTACATTTTTATCCAAGATTTTTGCTCAAAGCCCAGCCGAAAAAATCAAAAATAAATATTTTATTGATGGTTACTATACAGTAAATGCAGCAGAACTTTTTTTGTTAAGGAAAGTTTTGACACTTATCCCCCTTCAAGAAAAAAGAACATCGTACCACTTAGTTACTTCCCCGCTTGCTATTAATTATGCAACAGAGAAAAGGCAATTTCATCATGGCAATTTTTTTTTTTATAAACAGTTTACCCTAAAGTATTGGCGCTTTCTGCAGACTCTCACCTTTACGTTTATCTTAAAGAAGACCTTCAGGACTTTACACTCCTTTAATTCTAATGCCACTATAGCTAGAATTTTAGAGCCAATTCAGCAAAAATGTGGGATTTCAAGAGATAAGATAAACGTCCTAAGCGCGGCTCCAAAAAATTAGGACACAGTGAAGCTGTCCATGAATTTGTTCAAAAATCCCGACTCGAACTCACTTTGGATTGTGAACAAAAACAGTCTCTGACAGCTAAAAAGTTCAAATAACTCATCAGTTTACAAACACAATGATCCATCAAAGATGGGAAAGAAGTAAAATAAGTGGGCTGATTAGTTTTTTAATGCCTACTGTGCAAATAAAGAAAAAACTTTCTTAAATTGCTCTAGCTAGAAAATGCAAGTCCAAATTCTAGTGGTTATTAAAAATTTGAAAAGTAGAAGACGCTACAAAGATCTTTCAGACACCAAAAAAGCTATTAGGTTTCTCAGACACGTTTCTTATTTGAAAAAAAAGTAATAACGACAAAACTTATAATTTCGCTATTTTGATAAACCCTCAAACCTATCAGTAAAACACTAAGATCAAATACCAACAGCAAAACAGTAAAATATTAAAATTCCTTAGCTAAAAAGATTCAAAAAAAGAATACCACAAACGAAAAATTATCAGTTTGAAAAATAGATTATAGGAATTAATCCATCAAGTACTGTACCAGTGATTGTAAAAGCACACCGAAGAGTCAAAAATAGACATGGCTCAGTGAAGATAAGAAATAAAAAATTTTTAAAGACGTTGAAAATAGTAGAGCAAAGAAAACAGGGTACACAAAAACTGTATGATGCCTTACTATTAAAGGAAACAGTTAATACCATACTGATATGCAATACCTCACATAATCCTCTGCAGGAGTGCAGAAACGGCTATATAAGGACAACACAAAACGACAGTCAGTATCATACAGTACCAAACGTTCCAGCAAATGGCATGCTTCTCCTGGCTCACCGTGACGTACCTAACCGTCATTCTCGCAACAACCAGCCAATTTTCACAGGTTTGTTTTTGAGAATAACCGTTAAAATTTTAATATACACATTACTCCCTTTCTGCTTAGGAGATCTCCTAGGAGAATTTTAAAATTTTGAATATTGAAAGAACCCTACAAGCTCATCTACGTAGAACCTGGTTACCTAAATTTCCCGCCTTTACAGTTGTAACCAACAAAAAAAAGAGAAAAGAAATAGAGCTAATATAATTTAAGATTAAGAGACAAATTAGCTTATTCACCTTCACTACATAAACAAATACAACCACACTCTTTCACTAAACAAACTTTACTACTAAAAAAATAAAATACATATTATTT